GCACTCAGCGTTGGAATTTACAAAACTTTAAGCTTTAAAATGATAACAATAACTCCATAAATAATTAAATTGAAGAGCGTCTGGTTCCACCGTGTCGTGACACATCGCTACGTCAGAATTACAAAGTTCTATCTGATATTTTTGGCCGTTTTGAGTTACAAAGACCATGAGGTCAGAAACCAATAAATGTTTTATCTGCCCTATCAAAATCGAAGATTTTCCTGAGTCATTATCAAGATACTAAAAGAATTGCATTCGAAAAAGCTTGACATGATGTGAAACTAGAAATGTTTTACGTCAAATTTCTCACAACTAGGTACTTAGCAGACAGAACTTTGTAATTCTGGGGTAGCGTCGTAATATTGTGAAAGTAGCACTCACCTGTAACCGTCGGTCGATGTATATTTTGTCCGGGTGAAACTCGTAAGCTTTGTAGGGCATGAACACAGCGTTGAAGGCCCACTTGTCGTCACGGTAGTAGCTGGAGAAAAGAGGAGAAAGTACTGGAGGAAACATGGTTTTTGATTGAGTAGATGTTTTACGGCACTATCGACTCAATCTAGAGGAAACATAAAGATTACAACATTACGTGAGCCGAGAGCCGTTTTCTGTTTCTTTCTTTCTTTTTCTTAAATTAAAAGTAGGCAGGCTTTTTTGTACCCCTCTCGATACATTTTAATTAATCTACGAGACAATGAATGGGAAAAGTCATCAGGAAAATAGCGTTACCTGAGCTTAGTACTATCTTGTTCTTTCTTTTTAAAATTCATAATATCAAATATAAATCTTTTATGCTCCTATCGACACATTTCAGATCCTTTAGGAAGGGGCAATTCAAAACTGAAAATACTCTAGTTATAAAAACATATAGAGTACCTTCGAAATCTAAATGGCTTCCTGAAGGCAAGGGAGCAGATGAAAAAGGGGGAAAAACGGCCACATACGTAAAGAGCAGTTGCACTGCAGGTTGAAGAACCAGCAGTCGACTACCCCTGAGATCTAGCAGGGGAACGCAAAGAAGAAAAGACGCACAACAATAGTGCAAAGACATAGCGAAATGTAGCTCTTCAATTCGCTATGTGCAAAGGTGAACCTACCGGAACGTGTTGAGGAAATGACTCAGCCACTCAGCGCCAGGTTTGGCTAGGACCACGCCCATGTTGAAGACCTCTGGCCACTCCCCGTTGATGGGCCAGTCCGGACAGGCCACCACAGGGTACCGCCTCAGACTCTCAGGGATCTCACTGACCCAGATGACGTCACGGTCCTGGGGGGAAAT